AAATTCAAAGTTAGACCTATGAGAGGCATATTACTTCATAAGACTAAAGGAAGGGGATGAGTGGAAAACAGCTTTTAACACACCATTGGGATGCTACCAATTTAAAGTGCTCCCCTTTGGACTGCAGGGAGCACCTGCCATGTTTATGCAATTGATCAATGAAACCCTTCATGAATTTTTATATAAAGGGGTTCTAGTGTATCTTGATGATATTTTAATCTACACAGAAATGATGGAAGAACACATCAAGCTACTCCGTGCAGTCCTCACAAAACTCTTAGATGCTAAACTATATGCAAAACTCTCTAAATGTGAATTCCACCAAGAATAAACTGACTATTTGGGGTATAGAATATCCCACGAGGGAATAGAGATAGACCCACAGAAAGTAAAAGCTGTACTGGACTGAGACCCACCGCACACCCGCAAACAACTGCAAAGCTTCCTGGGGTTTGCGAACTTTTATCGCCAATTCATTCCAGCTTTTGCAAACATTGCCCTCCCTATCACAAACTTGCTAAAAATGAAAGGGGCGGGGGGAGAAACCCAAACCAAGGCAAGCCCTTATCTGGACAATGGAATGCCAAGTGGCATTCGAGAAACTCAAACGTCTATTCTCAGCAGAACTGGTCCTTAAGCACCCAGATCCAGAATAACCTTTTGTCATCCAAGCAGATGCTAGTGATGTTGCAGATGGAGCAGTCCTCCTCCAAAAGAATGGAAGGGGACAATTACAATCATGTGCTTATACATCCAAGAAACTGATGGAAAACGAGCACAGATGGGCCATATGGGAGAAAGAGGCATATGCTGTGCAGTGGGCAATGCTCACATGGAGACATTTCCTGGAAGGAAACCAAATCCCCTTTGAAGTATGGACTGATCACAAAAATCTGGAAGCCCTGAGAAATCCATGGAAACTCTCTGAAAAACAAGCAAGGTGGGCTCAATATTTTGAACAGTTTAATTTCACTCTCAAATATTTTCCTGGGAGAAAAAACTTCTTAGCAGATGCACTGTCCAGAAAACCCCAATACAACAGCAAAACGATTGAGGTTATAAAACCCATGATCCAACTGACCCAACTAGCAGTCAAAGTAATCACCTGGGCACAAGAGAAAAGAAAATCATCACTGACTGAAGACACAACGACATCAATATTTAAGGAGGCACTACTTAAGGATGATTGGCTCCAGGTTAACAAAGACACTTGTTTAATCAAAGATGGACTGGCCTGGATAGAAAACAAACTTTATATCCCTGCAAGCCAGAGGATGGACCTCATGAAATGCTGTTATGACTCCAAAATAGCAGGACACTTTGAGTTTGTCAAAACCCTGCACCTCATCAAAAGACAATTTGGGTGGCCATCTCTCAAAAAGGACATTGAAAATTATGTTGCGAGCTGCTCCACCTGTGCTGCTACAAAGAGAAGACAAGGAAAATCTCCTGGACTTTTACAGACAGTAGCAGACCCTTCTGCACCCTGGAAAGAGATTTCTATGGACTTTATAGTGGAGCTTCCTGAAAGTTTTGGAAATACTGTCATTTGGGTGGTAACTGATCTTTTTTCCAAACAGGTTCACTTTATTCCATGCCAAAAGATCCCAACTGCCAAGGCATTGGCAAAGGTGTTTCTAATACACATTTATTGCCTTCATGGAGCTCCCCAATGGATTATCTCAGATAGGGGTGTTCAGTTCACATCCAAATTTTGGCAGCCATTTTTAAACCTATTAGGCTCCACCCAGGGGTTATCATCATCAAATCACCCCCAGACAAATGGAGGTTCTGAACGTTAGAACAGTGTATTAGAACAATATTTAAGATGTTTTATTAATTACCAACAGGACAATTGGACTGACCTTCTTTCTTTTGCAGAAGTAGCATACAATAACTCAGTCCATAGCAGCACGGGGTTCACCCCATTCCAGGTAGCCACGGGCCAAGAATTCAACCCCATGCTGGAACTACCCACCAAAGAATCTGAAATCCCTTCCCTTAAGGTGTGGATAAATAACTTGCAAGCCACCTGGCCAGCGGTAAGATTAGTGTTACAGGAAGCTAGAGCAGCTTTTAAAATTCAAGCGAACAAACAATGTTGCCAACCTAAACCTTTCAAGATTGGGGACCGTGTATATTTGTCCCCAAAATTCTTAAAATTATTACAACCCTCTAAGAAATTAGCACCAAAATTCATTGGCCCATTCCCCATATCCAGAATTATTAACCCCGTGACGGTAGAGCTTGGACTTCCAAAAACACTTAGGCAGATTCATCCAGTATTTCACTGTATCTTGCTCAAACTGAGATCACTTCAAACCTCAGACCCCCCGCCTTCCCACACCTCCAACTCCCATCATGGTAAATGGGGAACAACATTTTGAAATTAAAGATATCCTTGATTTGCGCACTCACCTTGGATCCACACAATATTTAGTAGCTTGGAAACTCCTTCCTTCCTCAGAAAATGAGTGGGTAGCCAAACGACATGTAAAAGCACCCACATTACTACAAAAGTTCCACCTAAAACACCCTGATAAACCATCCTAAATTGCAAATGTAATGCATGTTTTTTGTTTTTTCCAGGTAGACCTATCTGTTTTTTAAGGATGGCAGGATGTCAGATCTGTGTATCTATCATTTCTTCAATGGAAGAAGAAGCAGGGGGGAAACTGATAAAGAAATCCTTCTTGATGTAACCTGAATATATTTAATCTTATATCAAATTTGTATACCCTACACATGATACAATGGAGAGATGAAATCCAGATAGCCAGAATCTACCACCTCTGAGAGAGACAGCCAGGAGATGAAGAGACCATAAAAATTCCACAGTGAGATGTGTCCTGGGAAACTCTGAAAAAGATCGTTGTAAGAAGGGTGGTGGTGGGGAATTTACATGTTGGCTCTTTGTTTTACTAAATACACATCAAGATAAGGGGAGGGGTTTTAAATTCCCTTATCTATCTCTGCATGCCTGAGAGACTTTAGATGCTGCTTTTAACTCCTACATGAATTGTCTCATCTCAATAAAGGATTCCTTTTTGATATGTTTGATACATTTCCAGAAGTTCTTTCTAGTTGATTGAATGGGAAAAGTTCTGTAGCCTGACACTGAAACCCATCAAACAGGCTCAGCTCCTGTAAAAACCAGCTTTAATAATGGTGAAGTGTTATACCCTATAACTAGTTACTAATTTTCTCAGAATTCATAAAAGCAGCTGCACTTCACATAAAATGTCCTCTGGCCTGCATGCTGTAAGCATCAACATCAAAAAATGCTAGGACATGTTGTTATGTGCCTATAAATTAAAGCTATATTTTTAGATTTTTCCAGCTGTATCTGCTTTATGAGTGTGTGTAACATGACTGGATTGGCAACAGACCCACAAAACTACCCAACTGAAAACACACTCCCTACACAACTGAAAACTACATATACACACTGACTAAGCAGATACAGCTGGAAAAATCTAACTCTTTAATTTATAGGCACATAACATTTCACACAATTCAAAAGAACTTCCATACACACACAATGACAATCTCACAAAGCAGCTGCTTTCTAAAAATAGAAAAGCAGCAAAAATTTCCCAAATTTTATATGACTATTTTCTAAAAAAATTTTTTAACACACTTACTATTTTTTAAAATCAGGGGATTTCAAACTTGAACACTTTAAGACTTGTGGACTTCAACTCCCAGAAGCCCTCATCCAGTCATGTTAGCTCAGGAATTCTGGGAGTTGAAGTCCACAAGTCTTAAGTTTACCAAGTTTGAAGACCCCTGGCCTGATTTAAATAATGAGTAGGAAAAAAAGCCACTTACTTACCCAATTTGTCGTATATCTCATACGAACAAATGACGCGAGTCAATGACTTGGTTCAGCTCGTTTATTGGGGTCAAAACACAAGTGGGGCAAGTGGGGAAGAAGTGCGGCTTAAAAAGGCTTTCTGCTGAGTGCTGCGGCCAATCGGGTCGTTTTGAATCGCCCGCGATCGGCTCAGCCAATCGCGGTCGATTCCGAGCGACCAATCAGTGCCGCGCACTCAGCCAATCCGGTGGCTGTGCGTTTTAGCCAATCCGGGTTGCCGGATTTCGAGTATGCAGATTTCTGTACAGAACACCCCTCCCCTCTTGGTTTGGTCCTACGTGACGTAGTCCCGTAAGTAGGCGGGGCTCCGTATTTTCCGACTTGACTTGCGTTGGTCAGTTGTCTTCTGGTTGTCGGCCGGTTCGGGTGGGACTCCTGTCGCTCTCCGCCTCGTTGATGGAACCGCCTGGAAGGGTGAGTCAGGCCTCTCGCCGCGGCTCCCTCCTGGTCTTCCCGGGTCGGTCGAGCTGCTGGCTTCGCTGCTCCCGCTCGGCTTTTCCGGGCTGGTTGAGCTGGCTTGGCTGCTCCCGCTCGGGCTTCCGGGGTCGGTTGAGCTGGCTCGGCTGCTCCTTCCAGGTGAGGCTTCGAGTGGGTCGCTCTCCGGTTCTTCAGATGGTGAGTACTGCTGGTTCCTTTTCGGGTGGGTTTGTTCTTTGTGGGCTTCCCTCCCCTCTTGGTTGGTGTCTTGCCGGTTCCCTACTGTACCTGGTGTCTGCGTGTCGGTTGTGTTTCCCGCGGTGGTTCTTGATCTCAGTTGGTCGATGTGGCGCTTCCACGCTCGTCCGTCAGCTGTTTGGAGGTGGTACGAGAGTGGCCCTGTTGCTTGGGTGATCATTGCCGGTACCCAGAGGGGGTCTCCGGTGAGGTTTTTTGCGTAGACCTTGTCTCCCGGTGAGAATGTTCTGTGTTTGCTGGTAGAATCAGGGGGTCTTTCCGGGTTGTATGTGGGGTGCAGGCGGTCGAGCGGGGATCGCAGTTTTCTTCCCATTAGTAGCTCCGCTGGGCTCTTGTTCGTTGTGGTACTCGGGGTTATGTGTTGAATTAGGAGCATTCGATTTATCTTGTCCTGTATGTCGCCGGTTTCGATCTTTTGGATGGTTTTTTTTGTAAATTGGACCATTTTCTCCGCCCTACCATTCGCCGCCGGGTGCGCCGGTGCTGTTAATGCATGTCGGATTCCTCGTTCTGCTAGGAATTTCTCGAACGGTAGTGCGGTGAACTGGGGGCCGTTGTCCGATACGATGACATCTGGGAGGCCGTGGGTTGCGAAGAGTTTGCTGAGTTCTCTGATGACGGAGTCTGTGGTGGTCGTCTTCATGTTGCTTACCTCCAGCCAGTTTGAGTAAGCGTCTACGGTTACCAGGAAGGTGTGTCCTCTGGTTGGTCCCGCGAAATCTACGTGGATTCGGGACCATGGCCCCCTGGGGGTTTCCCATTCTCTGCTTGGGGCGGCGGGGGGGTTTGGTCTTGATTCCTGGCACTGTTTGCAGGAGGCTACCCAGGCTTCGATCTCCTTGTCCATCCCTGGCCACCAGGCGTGGCTTCTGGCCAGGGCTTTTGTCCTAACGATGCCTGGGTGCCCTTCGTGCAGCATGCTTAGGACTTTTTTTTGTAATTTTTCCGGGATTACGACCCTGTCCCCCCACAATAAACAACCTTTTTGTGTTGACAGCTCTGTTTGTCGGCTCCGGTAAGCTTTGAACTCGCTGTCTTCCTCTTTTTCCGGCCAGCCTTTCCCCACCCATCTCAGGACCTGCGCCAGACGTCTGTCTTTATTGGTTGCTAGGGCAATGTCTGACGTGGTCAGGGGTAGGTTGGGTAAGGTCTCGATGCTCAGGGTAGACGTGGTTGGTGCTGGGTCGTCGTCCAGGGTTGGCAACGGTGTGCGGCTGAGGGCGTCTGCGTGCGGAATTGTTTTGCCGGGGCGGTGGATTAGCCGGTAATTATAGGCGGCAAGAAATTCGGACCACCTTGTCATTCTTGGGGAGAGGATGATTGGTGTGGCCCGGTCTCCTGCCAGTATTCCCAGCAGTGGTTTGTGGTCCGTGATTATGGTGAAGGTCCTGCCGTAAAGGTATTCGTGGAATTTCTTTACGGCCGCGACGATGGCCAGAGCCTCCTTATCCAATTGGCTGTAGTTTCGTTCGGGTTTTGAGAGGGTCCTCGAGAAAAAAGCGATGGGCGCTTCTTTTCCGTCGGCGAGGGTGTGGCTGAGGATGGCTCCTACTCCGAAGGGGGATGCGTCGCACGTTACCGTGATGGGGAGTGTCTCGCTGTACTGGATGAGGACAGTGTCTGATGTGAGAAGGTCCTTGGTTCTGTTGAAAGCGTCCTCTTCTCGTCTCCCCCACGTCCAGGTGGCTGCCTTGTCGAGCAGCCTATGCAATGGCTCCGCCGCGGTCGCCTTTTGGGGCAGGAAAACATTGTAGAAATTTATTAACCCCAGGAACGCTTGTAATTCTGTTTTGTTTCGGGGCTTCGGGGCTTCTTTAATGGCTTTTATTTTGCCCTCGGTGGGGTGGATCCCCTGCTGATCTAGTAAATACCCTAGGAACTCGACCCGTGTTGTGTGCAGTTGGCACTTTTCTCTCTTAACCTTGAGCCCCGCGTTTTGGAATCTCCTCAGTACTTCCCGTAGGCGGTCCTCTAATTGTTTCTGATCAGCCCCGGCTACCAACACATCGTCAAAGTACGGCACCACCCCTTTTATGCCCCGGAGGAGTCTTTCCATTAAGCTTTGAAATACGCCCGGGGCTACGCTGACTCCGAATTGCAGCCTCTTGCAGCGGAAGGCCCCCCGGTGTGTGACTATTGTCTGTGCTTCCGCAGTTTCCTCGTCTACCGGCAATTGCTGATAGGCTTGTGCCAGGTCGAGCTTGGCGAAGACCCTGCCCCCTCCCAGTGAGTGCAAGAGGTGTTGTACTACTGGGACGGGGTAGGCGCTTTGTTGTAGCGCGCGGTTTAGGGTGGCCTTATAGTCCCCGCAGATTCTCACCGACCCGTCTGGCTTTATCGGGGTGACTATGGGGGTCTCCCATCGGGCATGGTCTGTGGCCTCGAGGACTCCCTGTTCGATGAGCTTGTTTAATTGCTCATCGATTTTGGGGCGGAGGGCGAAAGGTACTCGCCTGGGTTTGAGGCGGATGGGTGCAATGGTGGGGTCTAGGCTGAACGATATTGGGGGGCCCCGGTACTTGCCTAGATTCCCGTCGAAAACCTCCTGGAAGTCGCGCACGAGCTGTTCCTCCCAGTCCGCCTCGGCGACGTGGTTGGTGCCGGTCACTTCTAGTCCCAGCGGCGCGAACCATTGTAGTCCCAATAGGCTGGGGCGGTCTCGCTCGACGACTGTTAGCGGGAGTATCTCGGTGCGCCCTTTAAAGGTGACCTTGAAGTGCCCGGTCCCCACCACGGGGATGCGATTCCCCTGGTAATCTTTAAGGACGAGCGTTTGGCTCTCCAGCTCGTGCCGCTTCATGGAAGGTACTAGTCGCTTAATTTCCCGCCACGCGACCATGGACAGGTACGACCCGGAGTCGACTTCCATTTTGCAGGGGCGGTCCTCGATCTCGACCTCCACGTGGACCTTCCGGCTGTCCCAGTTGGAGGAATGGCCAACGATGACCGTTTGGTGGGTTTCCTCACGCTGGCGGCCTTCGTGTAAACGGCGGTTCCTCGCTTCCCGGCTCCAGCGGCTCTCGCTGTCCCGATCGCGGTTTCTTGGTGGAGTGTTGTTGCGCCTGGTGGTGTCGCATCTTCGGGGGGTTGTGTCTCGGTGGCGGGGGCTGTGGTTCCTCTTTAGGCGGCAGACCTTTGCGATGTGTCCCCGTTTGTCGCAATGGCGGCAGATCGCGTCTAAAAAACGGCATTCTGACCTTGGATGCTCACCCCCGCAGCCGGCACACTGGAACTTTGATCTTCGGTTCCGTGGGTCGCGCCGGTCGCGCCCCGTCTGCATGCGATGGACATCTTCCTCGTCGTCTTCCGAGCCTGAGGAGGACTCGAGGTCGCCGTGGTGCGTGGAGGTGGCTGTTCGGTAGTTGTCGTCAGTTGCGGCTGCGGTGGTCCGTTCTGCGGTGCCGGTTTGCTTCAGTTGGGCTGCGGATCTCCGGGTCGCTTCCGCCGCCGTGGCGTCTGCGAGGGCATCAGCGAGGGAGATGTCGCCCTTTGCCATGATCCGGCTTTGCAGGACGGGATCCCGGAGGCCGAGGACGACGCGGTCCCTCAGGGCCTCGTCTAGATCGGTAAACCCGCATAGCCCTCCGAGGTCCCTGAGCTCTGCCACAAATTTACTGACGCTCTCACCCTGCTTCTGGTCGCGGCGATAGAATTCGTGCCGACGAATGAGGGTGGGCACAGCGGGTGCATAGTGGCTCCTCAGCAGGGGTTCGAGATCGTCCCAGTCCATGATCTTCACATCGAGCGGCTTGGCAAGGGCTTTTGCCATTTTGAAGACCGCGGGGCCGCAGTGTGTGAGAAAGACGGCCCGTTTCCTCTGTCCGTTCGCGTCTTTGAGATTGTTGCTCTCTAAGAACATGAGGAATCGGTCGATGTAAGATTCCCATTCTTCAGTAGCAGCGTTGAAAGGAGCGGGTGGCACGTTGCCGCTGGCCATGTTGCCGGTTGCGGTCCCGTGGGCCACGTGCGGTGTGGGATTTGCTAGAATCCCACCTTCGTCGCCAGTGTCGTATATCTCATACGAACAAATGACGCGAGTCAGTGACTTGGTTCAGCTCGTTTATTGGGGTCAAAACACAAGTGGGGCAAGTGGGGAAGAAGTGCGGCTTAAAAAGGCTTTCTGCTGAGTGCTGCGGCCAATCGGGTCGTTTTGAATCGCCCGCGATCGGCTCAGCCAATCGCGGTCGATTCCGAGCGACCAATCAGTGCCGCGCACTCAGCCAATCCGGTGGCTGTGCGTTTTAGCCAATCCGGGTTGCCGGATTTCGAGTATGCAGATTTCTGTACAGAACACAATTGAAGGAAGCATGCGGGCAGAATCAGTTGCTCACCAATGAGCAGCACAAAAGCAAGGCAGGAGATTGCAGCAGCAGTTCGCGAATCGGGAGAAAACATCTGAAAGAGGTAGGTGCTTGCTGGAGACTGGAGGTGGGAGGGAAGTGGGTTCTTTTAAAAAGCTTCTCCGATGGCTTTTAGAAGCCCTGGGTAGGGGCCATCGCAAAAGATTAGAAGGTTGGAACGAGGGCAGGCTGCACCGAGGCAATCCAGGGGCCTGCAGCAGCTTGGCCAGCTGCACGAGACCCCAAGATGGAGGCCATGGCCTCCGGAGGCAGCTGGAAGGTCGGGGCAAGGGCAGGCTGCACCGAGGTGATCCAGGGGCCTGCGGCGGCTTGGCCAGCTGCGCAAGGCCCCAGTTTAGAGGCCTTGGCCTCTGGAGGTGGCCAGAAGGTTGGTATGGTGGCAAGGAGCTCTCCAGGGGCATTTTGAAGCCTGGCAGCAGGGGTAGCCAGCCCACAAGGGACCCACAGTGGCTTGGGAGCTATGCCAAGATGCGTATTGAGGCTGCGGCCAGCGGAGACTTCTGGAAGCTCGGGGTGAGGCCGGGCAGTGGGAAGGAGTGCCGGGGGTTCAGCCCAGGGCCGGGGCTGGGCGGCGGGTGGCTAGCAAGTCAGTACTTACCTGGTCCTGTAGGCAGGAGGAGGCCAGAATGTCCATTGGGAAGAGTAGAGTAGAGTAGACTAAAGTCCATCTCAAATCAGCTTAGGCAGCCAGCAGCACAGCAAACTAGCATGTACAAGCGATAGGGCCACATGGCGAAGCATTTTTATAGGGTAGGCTTGGGATGGGTGGGCCGAGTGTCATGCGGGTGGGGCAAGCAATCAGACAGGCAGGGCAAGTGAGCAGAGAAAGCAGCAAGAGGACAAGCGGGGCAAGCAAGCGAGCAGTGACCGTTTGGGCAACCGGGAACCGGTTCAGGGCATGGCCAGCCAGAAGTCACTAATGGTTCCACGACCCATGCCAAATTCTTCCTACCGGGTTGCCGGTAGGAACATTGCGAACTGGCTGAATACCACCTCTGCCAAAAAGGCATTAAGAGTTGTTAACCTAATCCTACGTAGTTTTTTCTCTGGTAATATTAACTAGAGCATACAAAACATTTGCCAATCCAATACTTGAATACAGCCCATCACATTACGTATCTGATATTAACACAGTAGAGAAAGTCCAGAAATAGTTCACAAGAAGAGTTCTCAACTCCTCTACTCGTTGCAGAATACCTTATGCCACCAGACTTGAAACTCTAAACCTAGAAAACCTAGAGCTACGCCGCCTTTGGTCCGATCTAAGTATAGTATATAAAATCATACATTGCAATGTCCTACCTGCCAATGAATACTTCAGCTTCAACCATAACAATACAAGAGCACACAATAGATACAAACTCATGGTTAACCGCACCAAACTTGATTGCAGGAAATCTGACTTCAGCAACAGGGTGGTCAATGTCTGGAATACTCTACCTGACTCTATGGTTTCTTCCCCAAACCCCAAAAACTTTGACTTTAGACTGTCTACTATTGACCTCACCCCTTTCCTAAGAGGTCTGTAGGGGGTGTGCATAAGTGCACCAACGTGCCTACCATCCCCGTCCTATTGTTTCTTTTTATTTTTCTTATATGTATCCATTTCATGTATTCATAACTATGTTTATACTTATACCTATTATCTTGTAAGCGATCGACAAATCAAATAAATAAATAAAATATAATTCCTCCTAATTGTCTTGAATAATAAAGTCACATTCAGGGAGAGGGGAAAGGCACATTCAGACGTGCAAGATTCTGTTACTATACAATAAAGCTATGATTAGCATTCATAACTTTGGTTTCATGGTCTGGACTACCTCAAAATAGCAATAGCACTTAGACTTATATACCACTTTATAGTGCTTTATAGCCCTCTCTAAGCAGTTTACAGAGTCAGCATATTGCCCCCAACAATTTGGGTCCTCATTTTACCGATCTCAGAAAGATGGAGAGCTGAATCAACCTTGGGCAGGTCAGAAGTAAGACTAAAACTAGCTAAGTGATGACTTCTTAATATTAGTCAGTTAAGAGGGCAGGGGAGAGGGGAAAAATACAGGGGGATATTGTAGCTCTCACTGGAGTACCTCTTCTCCATTGTCCTCTGGAATAATATCCTTCTTTATATCCACCATGTATCTTCATTCTGATAATCCAAAAGTCTTTAAAAATTTGCCTAATATTTCAGGCCTTGGAGAAGGATGTTTATAGAACTGGTGGTAGATCTTGTTTTTGTTTGTTTGTTTATTAATTGGGGGATATGGTTACTTGAATCCAAACATTGGATTATCTCTATTGATTTTTGATTTTTTAATTAAAAGGTGACGTGTTCTGCAAATAGGTGGCTTCTAAATCTAATAATTTAAAATAAATAAATTGAGCCCTTATCTGATATGGAATATCTCAAGGCATAGATCTCTGCTGTTTTATTTAACATCTTTGTAAATCTTTTGAGAGACATCATGTGATGGCCCAGAGTATATCAGAAATATAACAAAACCCAAAACGTAAATAAAAGTCCTTTAATGCCTTCAACTTGGCTTCATTGTTTAATTGTTCACAGTGGAGGAGTAAACTATTTTCAAAATAACATTTCAAAGGAAAGAAACACAATTCAAATTCAAAGAGCTGATAACAAAGCAAAAACCAAAAACAAACCACACTGAATAAATACAGATCAGGATAGGTAATTGCCAACTTCAGGAAGATAACCAGGTACAGTCCATTGGAAGAACGCCAACCAAGATAAACCTTTTTTAGGAATAAAACACTAATTTGTCTCCAGTGTCTGTTAGAATGCAGGTCCAAACTCTAATGCAAATCTCACACCTGCAACCCATGAAGAGGATCGTGGCCCACTCCTCCTGAGTAGACCCTGTTTTACCCTGATCCTCTCCTTCCTGCATGCCCTAGGATGGATAGGAGATGGGCCTGGGTCCTCCTCTGACTGCTCAGCCGGCCTCTTTCCTTCCCCAGCCTCCTCCACCATCTCTGGAGCCACACTTCCACTCCATAGGCTGTTCCTCCTCTTCCTCAGAGTCAGTCTCCACCAGGGGCATGACACATCATTTATCACCTCGGGATAAGTTATCATCAATATACAGACGAAAGCCAGTTTTATATCACTAACCTGGGACAAACAGGAAATGTGGTAGAGGTCTTAACCTGGTTTTTAGAATCAGCTAGAGTGTGGATTAGGAAAAACAGAAGAACACTGCCTTCTATTTGTTATTCTGTTTTCAATCAATTCCATTTAGAGCAATTTGAAGAGAGAAACATACAAACATTAGTAATAAATCAATTAACTCAAGTTGAAACTCAGCCTAAGCCAGCTGGGATGGCCCGAGAACAAAGAACACATAATCCTTATATTTATACCCAGCAGATAAATTCTTACCTTCCTGACACTTATTTTCCCATGCTTTTTACTGATAAATCCACCTTCATAGCTAGATTTTGGGAAGAAAGTATTGGATTGATTGTCTATTTATTTAATAAATTTAGTTAGCCTGCCAGGTAAATAAGACTATCCAACTATATTTTTAATTACCCAGCTCCCACTCAGAATTCTTTTTTTCTGAGTTCTTTACATCATTATCTACTGAACTTTCTACGTAGACTTGCATGGCATTTTCTCAAAGACATCATTTGTCTTGGGCCTGCTCGCTAGGTGATCAGTCTTTCCCAAAATTGCCACCAAGACTGTGCAGAATAATTTAGTGGAAAATGTTTTACTTCCAATAAAGTCTCTGGCAATTCCCCTTCCAAGACTATGCATTCAAAATTCTGTCTTCTTCTGATATCCAAGCGACCAACATTCTAATTTTTTGAGCACACAATTCTTTCCATGAAGGTAATAGTCAAACACTTAGAGTTTGATCTATCCAACCCTGTTGGATATTAATTTCTCTTTGATACACTAGTACAGTATAACATTGCAAGCTTAATGCCATTAGTGAAGTACATTTAGACCTTGTCTTAAATCTCTGGTCAAAACCTGATAGCCCATCAGATAATGTTAGAAACTAACTTTCATCTTTTTCAGATTAAATTTATGTCTGTAATAGATTTTAGGTACTTTCTCATGTAGCTTCTTGGTCTTGGGCCCACCTGGTTCTAATATGCCAGGTTTAGAAGACAAAGATACTATGTTTGTATCCAGGGGTGGGATTCTACCAGTTCGCACCTATTTGCTAGAACCGGTTGTTAACATTCTAAGCAGTTCGGAGAACCGGTTGTTAGAAGAAATTACTGACCTAATCCTGTAAGGAAGGCCAGAAGGAAACATTCTGATGTTGCTTACAGAAACTGCCTTATTACATTCTTGGCAGGACTAGACTTCCTGTCTCAGGAACTTCTCTGGAGATTTTTTCCCCTCCTTTGCTGGTACTTTGCTTGTGTGGAGTGACCATTCAAAGTTACAATGGCACTGAAAAAAGACTTATGACCATTTTTCACACTTACACCTGTTGCAGCATCACCACAGTCTTGAGAGGCCAGGCAAGAAGATGCATACCTCGATGTGAGTGATATTGAGTTGACCACATCCAGCCAATAAGATGACCACCAAGCCATGACCACCTAGTCACATGACCACCAAGCCACGCCCAACACCAAAGCCACACCCACAGAACCGGTTGTTAAAAAATTTGAATCCCACCCCTGATTGTATCTATGAAGCGTTACTTCTGGCCAAAGGGGGGAATTTAGGAAATAACTCACTCCCAAACTAGTCCAACCAGCTACTGAAGCAGAAGAACCTATATTATTTCAAACAAATGATTGTCCAATGTCTTCTTAAAAACATCCAGTAATGGAGCACCCACATTTTCTGAAACAAGCCATTCTATCGATAAATTGTGCTCTTATTTCTCAGTTGCTTTTCTCCTTGATTAGTTTGCATCCATTGGTTCTTGTTCTGCCTTCAGGTGCTTTAGAGAACAGATTGACCCCCTTTACTTTGAGGCAGCCCCTTATATATTGGAACACTGCTATCATATTAGTCAGGGGTGGGATTCAAATTTAGCAGGTTGGATGAAACCACGTTCCAAATTTTTATCAATAAATGACCGCAGCTCTTCTAGCTCCCATGGTATCTTCGAGTACAGTTTCGGTTTTGGGAGTTTCACTCCTGGCGAAATTTCAATACTGCAATCTGTTGAGCGATGGGGGGGACCTCGTCCAAGGCCTTTTCACTGAATACCTCCTTTAAGTCCCAATATTCCTCTGGAATTTTCTCCTCCCCCCTCAGATTCTTGATGCCAGTGGAGGCCAGCTCTGTGGGATTCTTGGGTTTCGGTTGAGATTGCCCCTCCCCTTCTGGGGGTTTGTCAGTACATATGTGCAATGATCCCCTTCTCCAGTCGATGTGGGGGTTCCATTTCTGGAGCCAGGGCAAACCCAGTATTAGGCGGCGCTCCATCCCAGGAGCTACAATAAATCACAAAGTCACTCTATGCTTCCCCATCGTCATTTCTACTGGTTCCATTATGAAATGTGCAGGGCTGCCCCCAACTACCGATCCATCCAGTTGGGAAAAGGCTATGGGCATTTTTAAAGTCTTTAGCCTTAAGCCCATTTTCTCTACTACCTCTGAGCTAATTACGCATCTTGTGCACCCAGAGTCTAACA